GAAAGAAAGATTTTTAATAACATTGTTCCTGGTTGTAAAGCCTTTGACTATTATACAGTTAGAAAACGATAGAAACACCCCAAAATAAACAAAATTTATTTGGTGCTGGGCACTGCCATTGCAGGTGTCTGTGAAATAGTGCAAAATAGTAGCAATCCTATAGAGAAAAAATATGCATTCTTTTATCCCAAAATTTAACAGAAACTATAATGTTTCTTTTAATGAATCAGAGTGAGATTTTTGTATGGCTTTGCTTTTCACACAATTTTAGACAATATCACTTGTAAATCTAGCACATAGTTTTAGAAGGATGCCTTATATAAGAATACAATTGGGAGAGTTATGGAGGAAATGTAGAATGGGCCCACCTTGATAACAAATTTAGTAAACCACAAGATCAAACAACTTTGTTGTTAAATACTGCCTTTACATATTAACAGAAGTAGGTAATCTGGAACAATGATGATACCTGCCAGGTTTCCCCTACAGTGTTTAGATGACATCTAGAATATGACATTCTGTTGTCAGTGCTGGAGTCCAGGAGGGTGATTTGAAGGGTGTTGGCTCCCTCCAGCACTCCTGAGGAATGTGGCTGGAACGAGGGGTCTGGAACCCCTGCACATGAGGAATGCTTAAAGAAGAGAGATTTGCAACTGTGTAATAACTGCCTATGGTATTTGAAGATTTCTACATTTGAGAAAGACCTACTTATTCTGTGTCATTTTGAGGAAGAGAAATGGAAGTGATAGGTAGAAGAAGATGATAACAGCTTGCTTTTTTACACAGTTCTCCAAAAAAGGATGGGATTTTCTTTTTAAACAGGTGACCTTCTTGTCAGTGGAAGTGAACGTAATTGAAAGTATAGGAGAGGTTTTTGCATATGGAAGGAAGCTGGGCTTTAACTGTGTTTCCTTATTCCTGGTGATTTTCAGAATTCCATGTGTGTATTATTATCATAGCTATTATTTTAATATAGAGCCCCTGAGCCATACTCTATGCTTAATGAACCAGAATCTCTAAGAAGATGCATCCATGATGGAGAATAAATATTTAATAGAGAAAAAAAAATCTACCCAGGGAGATATAGTCAGCAATGTCCAGGCATGTAGTTTTCATGATTTCTGTTAAAATAATAAATATGGTATGGTGATTCTAGAGTTCAAATTATAAAACAAAATTTAGATATATTAGCATATATTGTTCATAAAAGTTTTATTACATCTGTAAGCTGGATCAAACCAAATTTCATGTTCTTAGAGATTTCTCAATCACTTAATAAATTTGTATTAAGGGCATATTATGTGTTGTGTTAGGCCTGAGGATGAAGAAACAGTTTGAGTAATGAGTGAGGATTTTGCTTTCAGAGGGTGGAGCCTAAGAACCCCCCCAGTGTTAGTACTATGAATAAGTAAATAAGCAATTTTAACTCATAAGGATAATTTTTATATCATTGTAGTACTTAAGGTTCCCTCGGTTCATATTTGATCACCATTGTAGTTATACAATCTTGGGTAAGATTTCAAAGTTCTCTGTGCTATAAGTGTACATTCTACAAAATGGGGATAATAAAAGCTCACACTAGTGCACTAAAATGATTAGAAGTCTTTATAAAGCATTTAATATAATGCCTGACACATGATAATTAATTGATGATCATAAGCTATCATGAGCCTCATATTTTCCCTCCCTTCCTTCCTTCCTTCCTTCCTTCCTTTCTTCCTTCCTTCCTTCCACTCTCTTCCTCTCTCTCTTTCTCTCTTCCTCCCTCCCTTCCTCCCTTCCTTTCTCTTTTTCTTTTCTTTTCTTTCTTTCTTTCTTTCTTTCTTTCTTTCTTTCTTTCTTTCTTTCTTTCTTTCTTTCTTTCTTTCGTTCTTTCTCTCTCTCTCTCTCTTTCTTTCTTTCTTTCTTTTCTTTCTTTTTTCTTTCTCCTTCCTTCCTTCCTTCCTTCCTTCCTTCCTTCCTTCCTTCCTTCCTTCCTTCCTTTTCTTTCTTTCTTTCTTTCATTATTCAAGTACAGTTGTCTCCATTTTCTCCCCCTCTGCTTTCCCCTGCCCCACTGACCCCGACCTCCCACCCTCAATCCTAACCCCCTTTGGCTTTGTCTATGGTCCTTTATACATGTTCTTTGATGATCCTTCCCCCTTTTCCCCCTGTTATCCCCACCTCCATCCCTGCTGGTCACTCTCAGTTTGTTCTTTATTTCTTGATTGTAATCTAGATGCTCAAACATCCAGAGGAAATGAGCTTTAGAAGAAGGAAAACCTCAATTCACTGGGGATATTGTGTTTGTGATTTACATACAACTTTTGATATAAAAACCAACTAGATCCCTAAAGTGAAATTGAAGACATACCACAAATTTTAAAATGAAAACAACACATGAGGCATATGAGGGGAGATAGAGGTCTTGGAAACAGAACATATCAGTAAAAATTTGTGACAATATTTGTACCCATGGGAATGTGTGGATATCTTCCCAAGTATAACTAAAGTATTACTACAGTAACTTGCTTTACCAATTTGTTCTGTTCAGGTAATATTTCTATATGTTAGAAGTTCTTTCACCAAAAATAACACATTAAACTTGCCTAATCATGTACAAATAAGAAGTTTGATCAAAATAATAACATTTTTCCCATGTCTTAGAAACTGGAGAATTTATTTTCAGCTTATAAGTGGGTTAATGTTAATTCTTTTAGGGAGAAAATACTTTCTTAATTTATATTCATAGATTACCCTCCTTGCCTTTACCTTCCTTATTTTCCCTTTTCACCTAGTTGATACATGTATTTCTAAGCATTTGAAATATAAGTAGATGACTTTAATAATGAATTCTAAATAAATTGAGAAGTCCTTTAACAAACATAAAATGTAAATAATTTTTCTGAACCACTAGTTTGCCTTTCACTTATTTTTTCAAAAATAAGCAAGCAAGTTCACTTTCATTTCCTGAAAGCCCTTTTTTCAGACATGTGACTGTGGGTTTTTTCAGTGGAGAACAATGTTTGATTGAATGTCAGAGGAAAATCACCCAAATCAAGTTAAAAGAGCTAGTCTGACAGAGTAATGACATCAACAGCCCCTCCTGTTGGTTTGAGATGCATAACTCAGCAGTCACTGCCACCCGTCATTATAAATTTTGGCTAAAATAGGATACATAGAGTAGAGTGAGCCAAAATTAAAACAACACAGAGCATGATAATTTAAGGATTAATAAAATATGCATACAATTTATATCTATAAATAGGCATATGTATAGGTATATCTCAATGGATTTAACATATTTAAAGCAGCTTATATAATATTCATATAAAGAAGTTATTAAAATAATACTCAAATGAACATCTTGCCAATTACTGAAGCCCCACCTAAGAGATGAAATTAGATGTTCAGATTTTCTCTTATGTTTTGAAACTGGTTAAGTGGTTCTTCCTTGAGTGATAGAATAACATCTCTACCAGTGTGATCTAGAAGAGTAACATATGTCCTACTTTTAATTGGGAATAAGCTGTTTTTAAAAGTACAATTTAAGCTTGGGTGTTGTAAGGTACACCAAAGGCTATGCGTAGTAGACTGGAATCTTTGTGTAAAAATAAACATTAAAAAAAATTAGTGTAAGTGTTGAAGTAATCGATAATTCTATTGTAATTATCATGATTTTTTTAAAAAGCCAGATGCAATAAATATGTATATGTTGCTGTGTTCCACTTCAAATCTACTGTAATAATATTGCAAAAGGCATACATTTTTAAAATTTCATCTTCTAAGGCTGCATTTCTCTGCTTTGCTATACCAATGCAACACTTTCCTTCTTCTTTCAGTTCCTCCCATTTGTCATGATTTTCTTTGTGCTTCCCAGTAATACATGTGATTGTTGTTTCTATCCTTGTTTAAATATCTGGTCTAAGATAATTTCTATTTAAAATTCATATTCCACAAATTCTCAGTTCTTTTTTTACATGCTAATAACTTTAGAGAACTTTGTGGGGTTTTTGATAATATTGCACTAATTGTTTTCTGTAGAGATATAACGATGTGATATATGAATTTCTTGGGCACAAATGATAACCCAGTTTTCAATTTTTTTAAGACTTTATTTATTTATTTTTTAGAGAGGGAAGGGAGGGAGAAAGAGAGAGAGAAACATGAATGTGTGGTTGCTGGGGGCCATGGCCTGCAACCCAGGCATGTGCCCTGACTGGGAATCAAACCTGCGATGCTTTGCTTTGCAGCCCGTGCTCAATCCAGCTAGGCCAGCTATGCCAGCTAGGGCCCCAGTTTTCAATTTTATATGTCATGTTTGTTATGTAGTACTTACATTATACCCATATATTTTTGCTAATATTCAAATATTTGTTTCAGTTGCTTCCATCATTAATGGTCATGTTTTAAAGACCTAACATATCATACTTCTATTGTAACCTCACTATATCATATGTAAATCATAGAATAAATGTTTCATATATGTATGTATTACTCATATTCATGGAGCCATGTACTCGAGACGATAGGAAATAACAAGCACTGAAAGGGCACACACTTTCCATAATGAGTTTGATCAAAAATGTCTACAAAGCAAACAACCTAATGTCAGCAATGGTTTCCAACAAAAACTGCCACACTGAGTCCAATATAGAACTTAGAAAAATGAAATTGTATCATTTGTTTAGAAATATGAAAACTATATTTAAATTGAAAACCATCTTTTAAACCGCTGTTCTAAGCACATGAATTGGTCATGGATCATGACTAAATTTTCCAGATTTCGTTTTAAAAAATTATGACTATAAAAAGGGATTGACATGTTTTGAGAGTATTTTATGTGGTTAAGTATGTGGGTTTTTCAAATAATTATATTTCAGTAATTGCTTTACATACTCAGAATGTAATTATAGACCACCCAACAGGAGCAAACAATGAATAGTTTAAAAATTTAGTAAATATAGTGTAACAAAAGTGAGAATGCGTAAATGTAATATTTGTCATTTTATATATTCCAGATTCAGAACAATTTGTGGGCAGGAAATGCAAGTGGTGGTTCTGTGGTCACTTCATGCATGGTACCACGTGACACCTCCTCCTGTATGACACCTTATTCTCACTCGCCTCGGACAGATTCCAGTTACACAGGGTTTTCAAACCACCAGAACCAGTTCAGCCACGTGCCCCTCAACAATTTTTTCACTGACTCTCTTCTTACGGGGGCTACCAATGGACATGCATTTGAAACAAAGCCAGAGTTTGAAAGGCGGTCTTCCAGTATCGCAGTCCTTCGAATGAAAGCCAAGGAGCACACTGCCAATATTTCATGGGCCATGTAACATACAGTACTCTTATTTTTCTTTAAGTGGAAAAGTAAAACATTCTTATTTCTCATATTTAAAGGATACCACAATAAGCTGCTGTGTGTGGAATTGCTAACGGTCAGGATATACACTGAGACCAGCTTAAATGAATAGTTGTTATTATTTAACATTAAAATCTAAGAATGAACCTCTGAAGACTAAATAGGTTTACCATGCACCAGTCTCCACAAACTCTGTTTTAGTAGTATGTTTTTCTATTGTACAAGTTGATGAAATACGATCATGCAACTTCTTAAAAGAATAAATGTATTAAACAAATTCCTCTGTTATAGATTGATTTATGTTAGTTCTGTATAACAAGAAATCCCTTATTGTAAAATAATACCTGATAAAGGAAGAAATGCACTGGGGAAAATGTCAAGATACCAAAGCTGTCAGGTAAATATTGAAGCAGGGCGTTTCGGGGAGTTAAATGCCATTTCTCCCTCTCTGGCTCCACGGCAAAATGGGCATATGCCCTGTTGACGAGAATTTATCTTCAGGTCTCAAAGATTACTTCACCTCTAGATGTTTCAGTGAATTTTTGTCCCATGGAAAAAGAACTCTATTAAAATGACCAGCATTTGTATGAAATATTTGGACATAGTTCCCTGAAACCATGTGGCTAAAGGTGATAACTGAAATATTCCAGTGTGATTTAAAATATAGTTGTGAGAACAGTTTTTATAAATGTTATCTTTTTGGTGAAAAAGCCAGCATGGATTCAGTGTCTTAGTTATCACACACAAGAAAGAAAAGAAAGTTACAATACCTATTGTTACTCTTAAATTAAAATTGTGTTGATTAAATTGTACACACAAACATCTAATAAATGCACTAAAATGTATTCTGTTAAAGGAGCAATGAACTGGAATTTATACTTACTTCATGTGCACGTGCAAGTACACATTTGTGTGTGTGTGTGTGTATTTGGTTTTTGACATATAATCCATAAGCATTTTTGCTACTGTGGTTTTGCATAGGGAATTAAAATGTCAGAAGGCTCTCTCTAAAACTTCTGGTGGAAAAGAAGAGAAGAAAAATACATTGCATCTGGAAAATTGCTAACCCCATTGATTTACTTCTCCTCCCTTTCCCCTGTCACATTCCAAGCTTTTTCAGATGAGTGAAATGTCAACCTCCTTGAAAGACTCTCAAGTTCATAAAGGCAAAGTAAATTAATTGAAACGAAGATGACTTTCATGGCTTGAATCAGAGCAAGCTCTGCTCTTTGTACTCTCTTAGAATCTTCCTTGTGGTTTCTACAGACTTTAGGGATATTCTTGGAAGTTCTAAAGGCTAAAGGACAAGAGTACATGAATTTAAAAATTAAATTTAAGAAAAAAGTATTTAAATCCAGTATGTATCTCTTCCTAGTGGGAAAATATGTACAGCAGTTAGACCTCTTTTATAATAAAATTTTAAATCAGGCAGATGATGGGGATGAGTGATGTCCTAAACAAACATTCCTTGACTTTGTAATAACTCTTTTCTTTATTACTTTTGTGTTCTCTCTTTTTAGTTTTGTTCCCAAGACAAACTTGTTCAACTTTGGCCTTGAGAATTATGCTTACATGCAGGAGTTTTTGTTAAAGGATCATTTAGGCAGCTGTTAAATATCCTTCACGTTTTAGGAGAGAATGGCTTCTTTTAATACATTCATATATGTGGTTAATAGGAATTTATGAACTAAAACTTAGAACTAAAATGTAAGGTTAACAAAATTCCAAATTAGCAGTATTCACGTTCATTTTCTTCTACTTTCTTAATTGAAATTTTAGTGTCCCCTTGGCTAATACTTTATATTTTTTAACATGAGACACAGAATTCACATAGGCCAGTTTATATTTCAGTTCACTCCTAAGTTTTCCTGTTCTGTTTTACTTGTCATTATATTCTAATCATTAGCTGGAGCTTCTGTAACTGATTTTTTTTTCAATTTAAATAACATCTTTTAATTGAGGTTCTATATCCACACTGTTCTGTATGAATTTAATTCAATCAACAGATTATTTTAAACACCAACAGGACATGAAGCATTATTTGGGATAATTAAATAAATAATGGAAGCATGATTCTTATCCTTCATGGTTCATAATTTTCCTGGACAGTCATGTAAATAAACTATCTTTAATCATGCTTGACATTTTATGATGGCAGTAAGAGCTGCATGACATTTTTTGAATTAGCACTCCCACCTTTTCTATCAGCTGAAAATTTTATTATATATTTAAGTCATTAAAATATAATGAAATGAACTTTTGATGTAATAGGATAAGATTAATCTTAAAAAGTACATAAAGTAATGCTGCTGAATGTTCTTTTATTGCTTATGAACTTAGATTCATGTACTATAATTTTGTTCACAACATGTTGAATTTGGTACTTAAGAGAGGAAAAACTAAGTATGCTTCACTGACTTATTTAAGATCATCATTGACAGTATTGACAATTGAGCATGTAGCTTCATTGAGTAGCTGACCCACTTGGACATTTGTTTACATTTCATCCACTCTTTCCTTCTTTCACAAGTTGTTTTCAGATGTTTTAAGAGGTGATTCATGTACTCTTTTTTTCCTGAGCAATTTGGTTACAGTTTGGACTTCATGATAAGATATAAATCTAATGGAGAATTTTATAAGGTTTGAAGTTTTTTCATAAACATAAAATGAAATTTCAGAAAACAGTTTTTGGTTTTCTAAAGTTATATCATTTATTTCTTATGAATATTAAAAGTGATTATTTTCTTTTTATGTAACTTCTTATGGGAGAAAAAAAAGAAACAAGAAAGCTACTGTAGTCTGTGCCCTCAGCCTTGACAACACATCTCCAAAGAATAACAGAGTTACTTAACCTATATAACCTTGAGAAAACTTGTGAAATTGTGTGTATAAATTATGAGAGTCTATTAGTTTCATCGTTTCAATTGGCTATTGACTTTTTTTTTTTACCTCCAAGGCAAGGGGAAAGGGCAGACTAATGCACTTAATATAAGTTCTTACAAGATGATATGTTATTGTTTCCTTTTAGTATCTGTACTTTCTTTTCTAAGACACTTGACTTCCATAGTATATATCACTTCCCTCTGTTTTCAATAGTGCTGCTATATATATAAAGCTGATTTTAGTTTATAAGCAAGCAAATGATGCCTTAGTTGAGAATTAAAAAGATCAACTACAATGTTTGCATAAACTGTTTGAAAATTTTAAAATAATTTTCTAAACTTAACAGTGACCCTAGTTCTTGTTTTTTAACATTTAATTCAAATAGTAAAAGATGAATGATATTAGATATAATTTTAATTAAAAAATTGCCACTTCTGTTGCCAAATATCTTAGAAGAAATGTGGAGATCATCTTATTTTTAAAATCTTAATTGGGTTGACTTTTTTTTTTAGTGATTAGAATATAAAGATGTATGTTTATCATTTAAAATATAATTGATAGATGACTAACTTAAGCCATCTCTCCTCTAAGAAGCTGAGCATCCAAAATTCCCATAAATATTATTTCTTTATAGCTATTCATATTTTGCATTTTATATAAATATGAATTTAAAGGAATCTATTTAATACAATTACATATTAAATAGTACTTTTATTCTTACCTCTAATTCTCAGCATATATATTTTTGTACAAACCAGGAAGAAATGTCACTGATGATCAAAATGAAAACAAAAATCAGAATGAAATGTTTAGCAGTAGAGTTAGCATTTATGGCACAAACCCCTCCAAACATTAAATGCACTATTGCAGGGTGTAGTTAATGCTAAAATAGTATTTAAAAAATACCTCTCCTTTTTAAAGAAATACACTGCCATCATTTATTGTGGAAATATATTGAAAAAATGGTGAGCAAAGCTTTAAGACAAGAGCTAGCTAATTCTTCAGTTTACTGCAGAAATAATAAGAAATTGAAAGAAGCTTTTTTTTTTCTTCTTAGCCTTGGGATTACATACCATGCATTTTTTTAAAGTCCACAGAGCAAATAAATTATTTCACTTGAGTATTTCATCATGACACTATGTTACAACATGTCTGACTTTAGAATACAAGACATTGTATATTGAAGTTTTTCATGCATTTTTATAATATGTATACTTGTAACATTTCCTCTTATCTAGCTATTTAAACATACATATCCAAGATTTAAGAGAATATAGAAGTCGCCCTTATGTACAGTTTCACCTTCTGAGGTTTACCCACAGTCAACATTAGTCTAAAATTTTACATGGAAAAATTCTAGAAATAAACCCTTTAAATACCATTCAGGGTAATGTGACAAAGTCTCATGCCATCCCACTCTGCCCTACCTGGGATGTGAATCATCCCTTTGTCCAGCACATCCACACTGGGTACACTACCTCCTGTTAGTGACTTAGTAGCCATCTTGGTTGTCAGATAAGTTTGAGAGAGAGAGAGAGAGAAAGAGATTGAGATATTCACACCTAACTTTCATTGTAGGATATTGTTATAATTGTCTTATTTTATTATTAATTATTAGAATATACATAATATATTCCTAAGGTTTGGTACCAACAGCAGTTTAATGCATCCACTGGGGGTCTTGGAATGTATCCCCATGAATGAGGAGGGGATACTGTAATCTAGAACAATTGCCAGCACTGTCAAAACATGACAGATTTTCAGTAGAAGACAGAAGGAGTCCCCTACAAGTTACTTACACAGTCCAGTGGGTGGATATGAAAAGATTCAAATATTCCCCATGTCACCAGAGTAGGGTTCATAATTTAGTGGACAGTGGGTAGGGAAGGGGTATCTCTGGATAGAGTTCAGAGGGCTCTTAAACTGAGATGTAAAAAGCATTAGATGTTTATTTTCACTAACCACTAAAATAAATGAAGCATTTTTTTTAAAAATGTATGAATATGGACAATAAACCTCAATAATAGCAGTGCCTGTGATTTTTGTCACCAACAGAAAGAAAATAGTTTTCATATTACATTTGTTAGTTATTATAGATATATTGAACTAATTATAATTTTAGTTTATCACTTGATTAACATAGTTTTCAAAATTCAACAGTTTTCAAACTACAAAATTAGGGAAGTTTTAGCCCGGTTGCTGTATCTTGTTAATTAGTCTATCAATAAAGATGCATAAATATTAATACATCTTAAAATTAGTTTTGTAACTATTTGGACAATATAGTTGGTTTCCCTCTTAAACCTATGCTTTTCACTTATCTAAGAAGGGGCTCAAAAGATTGGAGTCCATAGCAGAAAAGGGTTTAAGATATCCCCTTTAAGCACCAGGGGCACTTGTCCAGATTAAATATATTTTGTCTCCCTAGAGGATAGTCATATGTTATGGAACTAATAAGAGGGTGCCTAATAATTTATCAGGTTTTCTCTGACTAACAGAATGTAGGGTTGGAAAAGAACAGGACTTTTTAAAGCAGGCAGCCCCAGCACATAGAATGAATGAATGAAGCATTTTGGTGAGATCAGTGTGGGACCAGGATGCAGTAGGTGGGGACCAAGTGTGTGGGAATGGGGTAAATGGTCTGGGCAGCGTTAGGAAGAGAGTGTGGCCTTAGGGATCCTAGTTGTACCACTTTTTAGCTTTAAAGCTTTAGGTGGGTCAGTCATTCCTCTGAGCCTTACTTTTCTCATTTATGGTTGAAAAGGGCACATAAAACTTGAAATGAAAAAGGCACTTTAACATTTATTTTCTCCTTTGACTTTCATGGTTTTGTGGCAATGGGTATTATTAT